ATTTTCCGGGAAAAAAGAACCGAGAAAACATCTTTGGGACAACCCTGACTGGAGGGTTGTGTCTCTCCAGAGACAGCACAAATGTGGGGAGGGGCTTGGATCCTTAAAGTGGTCTTCAAAAAGCCCTGGACGAGGTTCGTGGCTCATGAGCTCCCCGGAGGATCTGGGTGGCCACCGCCGGCTGAGGCTGACCCTCCCCGATCCCGCCGGGCAGCTTCTCTGGGCCTTCTCAGCTGGGGGGGGGCAGCTCTGTGCCCCCCACCAGCGTCTCTCCTCGTTTTGTGCCTCAGGGTTTACCATCCTCATTGAGCCCTTCGATGACAGGACGCCCACCATCCTCAACCCCATCCTGCACTTCAGGTGAGGCGCCCTGGGTTGCCCCCAGCTCTGGCTGGCTGGGCATTCTGGGTGTTGTGGTTCAGAGGAAGGCCACGCTGGGCGTCTCCTTTCGGAGCTGGTAGAGGGGAAAAGGTTCTGCCTTCACTCCTCAGAGGGCGAATGGGAGTCTTGGCCACGGTTCTAAACTTTGGCTGCCTGTGCTGGGAGGACGCGCGTCGCTCTGTCGCCTCCTCTTCCAGTCGCCGCTTTCCTCTCCCAGCTGCATGGATGCCTCGATCGCCATCAAGCCCGTCTTTGAGCGTTTCCAGACGGTCATCATCACCTCAGGAGTGAGTGCTTGAGGGAGCGTTTGGGGGCAGCGCCAGGACCCCCCCCCCCGTCTCTGGGGCTGGAGGCCTGGGAAGCGGCTGTCCTTACCTGCTGTTCTCCCCCCTTGCATTCAGACCCTTTCCCCACTTGACATCTACCCCCAAATCCTGGACTTCCGGCCGGTGACCATGGCCACTTTCACCATGACCCTTGCCCGGACCTGCCTCTGCCCGATGGTGAGTGCCAGAGGCCGGGAGGAGAGAGACCGTGTCCCCCTCCCCTTCCCAGGGAACCAAACAGGCCCCTTTCAGTCTGGGCTGTGAGGTCCCCTCTCCTCGACCAGCTCCCCTGGCCCTAGCTGGTGACACCGGGGGCCCCGGGCCCTTTCATCGGTTTCCCTTCCAGATTGTGGGCCGAGGGAACGACCAGGTGGCCATCAGCTCCAAGTTTGAAACCCGCGAGGACATTGGTGAGGGTCTTTGATGGGGAGGGGGCAGCAGAGCTCTTGCCTGGAGCCTCCTCCCTTCCGGGGTGCGGGGGCATCCCCACGGGAGGGGAGGGCAGTGCTGAGGCCGCTTGCAGTTGAAGGGAGGGGTGGGGCCCCGTGGGATTTTCCCCCCGCCTTGCCCTCCCCTCCTGGCCCCAGTTGGGAGCCTGAAGGGAATGTGCCTCTCCGACAGCCGTGATCCGCAACTATGGCAACCTGCTCCTGGAGATGTCGGCCGTGGTCCCTGATGGCATCGTTGCCTTCTTCACCAGCTACCAGTACATGGAGAACATCGTGGCCTCCTGGTATGAGCAGGTACGCCAGGACGCTGTGGCTGGCCCCTGCCCGCCAGGCCCCCAGATGGATGAGCTTGGGGATGCTTTTAATGGGGCCTTTAGGGGGGCTTCTGCCAAAAATTTCAACTCTCAAAGTCTCCTAAACTGGGAGTTGCGTTGTGTCCAAGACCAGGTTTCTGGGTCAAGCTCGCTGGTGAAGACAGTGGAGGGGCAGCCTGACTGCTGTGTGGATTTGGGGAGGGTCTCCCTCCCGTCCAGCCTCACAGCTCCCTTTGTGTTGCTTCTTGGTTCTTCCTCCAAGAACTGGTGTCCATGTCGGGCGCAAAGAACCAGGAACAGGAGTTGAGTTCAGAGGGCTCAAAGTTTATTCCCTGTTTCCGACACATAAAAATCGGATCTCATAACGGAAGTGAAATTGGCTGTGTAAAGATCCAAACCGAGGACGCATTTGACCCAGGGCCCCGCCTGGTCATCTACAGCTGAGTCCTCTCTATAGCTGATCCCAGACTGAAGGTCATTCAGGGGGGAGCACATCAAACACTTCTGGGGTGTGGAAACGGAGGGCCCCCCCCCCCGTTCAAAACAGGCCAGGCATATTCTGCAGGTCCCTCGGAAAGAGTCTGGCTACCCCTCCGTGCTCTTAAGGAGGCTGGGCGGGGGGAGACCGGAGGGCTGGGCCGGGCTGCAGAGTCTTTCCAAGCAGCCAGGCCAGGTGGGCTTTCTGCCGCTGGAGCTCCACCTCTCCTCTCGGGCTCCTCCAGGGGATCTTGGAGAACATTCAGCGGAACAAGCTCATCTTTATCGAGACGCAGGACGGAGCTGAGACGAGTGTGGCCCTGGAGAAGTACCAGGAGGTGAGGGTTGGGGTTGGGGGGGCTCTAGCTGCAGGAGGGAAGGGCTCAGTTGAGCAGCACACACACACACCCCCCCCCGTGCCTTTCTCCCTCCAAGCCTGGTCCTGAGGTGGGAGTTGCTGCCTGTTGGCGGAGGTCAGTTTGTTGACTTTTTTTTCTGAATTTGGGGTAAAAAGACGTTGTGGCTGATAAGATTGGTTGGTTTGCACCCCAGGCCTGCGAGAACGGCCGAGGAGCCATCCTGCTGTCGGTGGCAAGGGGAAAGGTCTCCGAAGGGATCGACTTTGGTGAGCGCCCTCAAACACCCCTCCCCTCGAGAAGCTGTGAGGGGGATCTGGACCGTCTCTTCTGCTGTTTGGGCAGAAGCCGGCCTGGGGCTGAGTTTGTGCCTTGCCTGAAAGTCACAAAGATCTCGAAACTGCAGGGGGAAGACATGTTTGCATGCAGTGCTGACCTTCCCCCCCCCCCACCTGCTTTCTCCCTTCCCCAGTTCACCACTACGGGAGGGCCGTAATCATGTTTGGCGTCCCTTACGTCTACACCCAGAGCCGTATCCTGAAGGTGGGCCCTGCCTCTGCTGCTGCTTGGGCAAATCCTGCTCCAATTTCCTCCGGGGTGCTGGCAACAGAGCCTTCACTTCCTCTCGGGGGAAGACCTGGGACCCCCTCAATTGGGTGGGGGGGCTCCTGTAGGACAGAAATGGCACGTTTTCCCACCCGCTGCTGGCTTGGCCGTTTCTCACAAGCTGATGGTGGAGGATACACACTTCTGGCTCAGTTGGCAAAGCATTGCCACACCTGGGCTGATTTCTGGGGGAGGGGTGGGGAAATGGGAGGAGACCCTCACTGCCTCTCCTCCCAAATCAGGCCCGGCTGGAGTACCTGAGGAACCAGTTCCAGATCCGTGAAAACGACTTCCTGACGTTCGATGCCATGCGGCACGCGGCACAGTGCGTCGGACGGGCCATTCGGGGCAAGACGGACTATGGTCTCATGATCTTCGCTGACAAGGCGAGTCCAGTAGGGGGCGTCCTCTCGGCTGCAGCCTGGACGGATGGGCAGTGGCTGATCCCGTGTCTCCCCCGCAGCGCTTCGCCCGGGCGGACAAACGGGGGAAGCTACCTCGCTGGATCCAGGAACACATCACCGACGCCAACCTCAACCTGACGCTGGACGAGGCCGTCCAGGTGGCCAAGCACTTCCTGCGCCAGATGGCCCAGCCCTTCCGCAAGGTGAGACGGACTCGGGCGGGGGAGGCACCGTGGGAAGAGGTGGGCTCCAGCCGGGGGGCATCTTGTAGCCCGGGGCTCTCCGAAATTCTGGGAGTTGGAGTCCATAAGCTTTAAAGTTGCCAAGTTAGGAGACCCCTGGAATAGGCAGAGGCGGGACGCTTTGCAAGTTACGCAGGGACAGCAAATTCTTTGAACCTTGGCAGCAACCTCCATCTCCTTTTCCTCCCTAGCTGACCTGCTAACCCAGAGAGCCCGGCCCCCACCCTCTGGCACCCAACAGGGGCTCTCATGGCTTGGGGGGGACACCATTTGCAAGAAGGGCCGCTTTGATATGCCTCTCTGGGCCTCCAAGTTTCAGTTTTCTGTCTTAAAATATCAAGAAACTGCTGGCAGTTTTGGCCTGGGGGGGGGGGCACAGAGGCAGCTGCATGCTGTAAAAGGGGGGCTCGGCCCCATAGAGACCACCCCTCTTCTCCAGGTCAGCAGCTCTACTCTTTCCATCATGACCTCCAGCAAAAAGGGGGGCAGAGCCTCACTTCCTGGGTGACCGTCAGCCAGGAAGGGAACGATGGGTGTTTATGGGGATTGCAATTCCCATAATGCCTCAGTGCCAGTGCCGTGGAAATTCTGGGGGAAGTTGCTACAGGACTTAGAAAACAAGAGAAACATTTGCATCCTAAATACGGTTTTGAAATGACAATGATGTTATCCATTCACTCAAATCCGACTCTTGGCTATTCTGTGGTTTTTAATATTATTTATGTTTTTTTAATGATTCTGTGGTTTTGAAGTACTGTACTCTGCTCAACAACAAACACTTTACACACAGCCCAGCAGCAGCAGCCAGACAAGCTGCCAGTGCACTGGGCACAGAGGTGTCTGCAGTTGCCCTGGGGGGCAGCAGTGGGCATCCTGACCCCTTCCCCTCCTCCCCCCTTGCCGTCTCCTCAGGAAGACCAGCTGGGCCTGTCCCTGCTCACCTTGGAGCAGCTGCAGTCGGAGGAGACCCTGCGCAGAGTGCAGGAGATCGCGCACCAGGTGTGAGTGGCAGCGGAGGAGGCCGGCCAGCGTGCTCTGCAGGGCAGGGGCCCCGGCTGGCCCCCTGTCCAACTGCAGAGCTCATCGGGGGCAGAGAAGAGAAGCTGGCCAAAGGCCTTTACTTTTGGCCTGGCCGGGCCCCTCATCCCTCTCCCCCCCCCAACTAATCCTAGATTTCTGGACTAGGTTTTAATAAAGGGGATTAGTGTGTTGCTACGCAAGTGATTTTCTTCTTTGTGTTTGTGTGTGCGTGCAAGTGTGTTCTGCAACTCTCCCTTCTCTAGCATAAAAGGCGGCTAAGTGTGTCTTTTGGTCCTGGGGTAAAATCCCCTTGAAGTGGAAGAACTGGAGGAGGCATCTGATCTTTTTCACGCAAAGCCACTGGGGGGGGGGACCATAGGAAGGTTTGCAGACAACCCCCACCTCTAAAGTAAGGAAAACTCTTCATTCCCAGCAGACTTTATTTAAGGAAAAATAAGGTGCATAAATAAACTAAGGTTTGGCTTCACAAGAGCCATAGTGAGGGGAGGGGGGAACAGGCTGCTGCTCCTGCCCCCAAGGAGTTTAAGGCAATAGCGAGGGGGGAGAAGCTCCCCTCCTTGTGATCCTTTGGGATGGCAGCAGCTGCTCCATTCCTGAGAAACAGTCCTCTGTGAGTCGGGAGGGGCGCTTGCTCCCCCCAAGGGGGACCTCCCGTGCATGCAGTGCTCAGCCCAGGGAGGGCCAGGTGAAGTGCTTGAACCAACAAGTGACGCAGGTTAGGCCTGGCCTCAGCCAGGGAGAGTGAAGGCCAGTGGGCCTAGTGGGCGGTGCGGTGCGTGAGGTCCTGGATGCTGGTGCTCAGGTTCCGGGTGGGCTGCAGGAGGGAAAGAGGAGGGGTCCCCTTCAGGCCTCTGCCGTCGCTGTTCCCTTTCAGGCTCTGATTTCCTGCCCCAAGTGCTCCCTGCGCCGATTCTTGCTTTTTCTCCTGGCGTTTGGGGCGCCCTGGCTGGATCTGAACACAGGCTGAGCCACGTTGCCCAGCGAACTACCGGTCTGCAACTGGGGCTATGCTGCTGAGCGTGGGGGTCCTTCTGGGCCCCCGACTCACCTTTGGGGCTGCGACAGCTGCACCCTCGTTCACATGCAGCAGGTTGAGGGACGTGGCCCGTGTCATCCTGAGGAAGAGAGACCCTGTTAAGCTCTTCCTGGCCGGCCTGGCTGAGCCTCCCAAAGCCCAGACCTGCCTGGGGGGGGGGCTTCTGGGGCGCTCCCATTCACCTGGGGGCTGCAGCTTCCTTGGGCTGCCCCACTGCCTGGCCCCGGAGCTTGGAGACCAGCTTCTCACTGCTGCGCTTGAGGGAGTCCCGGAAGCGAGAGAAGGAGCTGCTGCGCCTCATCCCCTCCTAGAGGGAAAGAGGGGGCGCAAGACTCAAAACCTGGGGGGCTTCCCCATCCCCCCCCCCAACCACCTGCGGTCCAAGGTGGGAACAGGCAATCACGGTCTGCCTGGAGCCCCCTTTGCCTCCCTCTCTGGAGGCTCAGCTGAGGAGGCAGCGGGTGCCAGAGTGAAGCAGCTTAAAAGATTTGCTCCCCCTTCATGCCCCCCCCCCCCGCTCGTCATCCCTCCAAAGGGATCTTTCGTTGATCTCCAAGCCACCTGCGGGAGAAATCCTCCGAGGACTCACCTGCCCTTCCCAGGTGTGGCCAGCTCCTGTCCAGCTATAATCTGAAGGAGGGGAGGGGTTTTCAAGAGGTGAGTGCAGATGCTGAGGACGTGGGCACCTCCCTGTTCCCCCCCCCAGGGAAACGGCTGCCCAACGCTGGGCTCTTACCAGCCCTGGGGGTGCTCAGCTCCTGGTCCTGCAGGGAGAGAATCTCCTTGTACAGCTGCTCAGCCTGCTGGAACTTGCCCTGTTTCACGAAACACGAGGCCTGGCCGAGGGGAACAAGCAAGGTGGGGGGGGGTGAGCACTTCCCCTCCACCAGTGGACCCCCAGTGGGCAGGTAGCAATCGGTCAAGTACAGCCACCATCCAAAGGGCAAAGCACACCAAGAAAAAAGCCACTGCTCAGGCTAGGATGCTTTTAATCCTGTTTGGGTGGCAGGAAGGTGAAGCGGGGGGGGGGGAGAGAGAACCGGCCCTTGTGGTGCCATGGTTGAAGCAGGTCCTGGCTCAGTGGGCCAGTACTATTTTATTTGTCAATAACAGCCTGGTCATTGGCATGCTGCCCTACCTTGAACGTATTTTACCCAAAGAGAGCCACCCAGGCAGAGCCAGCAGTAACCCTCCAACTCCACAGTTACCAGGTTATTCTTGGTCTTGGCCACGTTGCCGTCGCTGGGGCCCAGCTGGCTCTGGTAGATGCGAAGGGCCCGCTGGTAATACTGTTCCACCTCTTCGAACTTGCCCTGGTTTTGGCACAAGAGGGCCAGGTTGTTCAGCTGCTTGGCCACGTCTGGATGGTCGGCGCCCAGCACCTGTGGGGGAAGGGCAGAGGTGCCCAGCTGATGTGCTGCCTGGGGCAATGCGTGCCCCCCCCCACCTCTCTGGGACTGCATCTCCTCCGGCCCCTGAAGGCACAAACTGGGTTGCAGCAGCGTCTCCAGCCTTGGCCACTTCAAGACTGGTGGACTTCAACTCCCAGGATAGCCGGCTGAGGAGTTCTGGGAGTTGAAGTGGCCAAGGTTGGAGACCGCTGGATTACAGCCACTGTCTCCCTATTCAGGCAGACCTTTTGGCTGTCAGGACCAGCTCAGAGCCCCCTCCCTTTCCGGCCTTCTCCCCCTCACTGCTCCAGCCTGCGCCAGGGACGCTTCTGCCGGTTGAAGGGGGGGGAGTTCAATTGCTGGCTCTTCCTCCCCCTCCAGATCTAAACCTTTGACCCACCGGCTCTCCCCAAGGATTTGTCAGGTGGTCACCCAGAATTTCTCCCGGCAGGTCGGCTGGGAGAACGCTGAGCATTGTTCCTCCCTCTCTTTAATTGGCCCGTAGAGTTGGGTGGTATTAGCTTATTTATGTTTTTAGGTAGATAATTTTTAACTTTTATGATTGTAAGCCACCCAGAATTACTTTGTTTTAAGATGGACAGCCAATATGTTTTATTTATAAACAAACAAATAAGTAAATAAATAGCCCCTTTCAAGAGGCCCAGGAAACAGCCTTTCAGACTCTTCTCCAAATTGTGGCGTGTGTGTCTTGGTGTCTACCTTCTCTCGGATCTCCAGGGCCCTCTTGCACAGCGGCTCAGCCTCTTGGTACTTCCCTCGCTTACCGTACAGCACAGCCAGGTTGTTCAGGGTGGCCGCCACCTGCCAAGGACGAAAGGCGGCTTAAGCAGAGCCCAGGAAGCTCCCTCAGAGCAAGGTGAAACGGGGGCATCTTGCCTGGGACCAAGCCGAGAGGGTCCACCCCGGAAGGCTCACCAGCCCTCCTCCTCCTCCTCCTCCCTAGGGCCTCCACGTAACCTCTGCCAGGGCCAACCCCCTCCCTGCCCCCTCCCCACAGAGCCCGGGCACTCACGGAAGGGTGCTCCACGCCCAGCGCCTGCTCACGAATGTCCAGGGCGTCATTGAGCAGCTCCGTGGCCTCCTTGTACTTGTTCTGGTCCCTGCAGGAGGAGAAGCAGGGCGGTTGGGGTGGCAGGGTGCAGCCTGCAGGCGATGCCAGGGCAAGCCCAGGAGGCAGCTGCAGCTCAGAGGACTGGGGGCCACCAGCAGAGCCACACGACAGCCAGAACAAAAGGGCCCCTGGAGCCCCCCCCCCGGTCTTTCTGCTTGTGCTGCTGGAGGGGAGGCCAGGCGCCTCGACCATCTTACCGGTAGACCAGGGCCAGGATATTGAGCATCGTGGCCACGTCCGGGTGGCTGTGCCCGGAGCTCTTTTCCAGGTCCTCCAGGGCCTGTTTGCAAAGCGGCACGGCCACCTCGTAGCGCCCTTGAGAAGCGTACTGGATCACCAGGTTGTGCAGTGTCCGCAGGCGTGCTGGGATCTCGTACCCGCCCTGCTGAGCTGCCAAGGCGGCGACACCTGGACTCTGCCCCTCTGCAGGACAAAAGCCCGGCTGGGTGGTGAACAGAGAGCCTGGGTGGCCAGGCTGGGTAGAAGCCGGGCATCCTCCCGTCCAGCCCACCCTCGTCCCAGGCCCTGCCCAGCACCTGGCCTGCTGTGGGGCAGGTTAATGTGCTGCTCTTGGAGACGGCGGGGGCTCTTTGCAACCCAGTGCTGGGTTTAAGCTTCAGCCTCACTCAGGCAGACAGGCAGCAGTTCCTCAGGCTGACTTGGGGGCTGACTGAGAAAGCAAAGGACGCCGAAGGAAACGCACCTGGCCTTTGGTCGTCATCCGTGCTGAGAAAGCCTTCCTCTGTCTCCACCTGCAAGGAGAACCTGGGAAAGTCAGTGAAGGCAGGAAGGACACACACACACACAAACACACGCTCCATTTTCCTTTAGAAAACTCTCTGCTAATTGGAGGCTTTGCAGTGAGGGATGCAGGATCAAGCCCTTCCTCCCCCCCCCCCGCCGCCTCCTACGGTTCCAGTCATCCTGAGCCAGTGTGCTCTCTCTGAGCACCCCCATAATTCAGACGGAAGATTTAATTTGGGGTCAATGGTTCATAGGAACCTTCAAAATTTCTTGGTGGACTTGAATTCTCTCAGCTGCAAGCAGCCGGATGCAGAGAGATACAGAAGGCGCCTCATCCACAAACAGCCATGGTCACCCAAAGCAGTTTCCCCCCCTGAGAAAAGCCCCCCCCCGCCACCACCACACCTGCTCCTCCCGGGCCTCGTAGTGCTTAAGCTGGTTCAGGAAGCGCAGGTGCTTGTTCTCCTCCTCCAGCTGAGCCACGGCCTCTGCGCTGTGCTGGAGCCGCAGCTGGGTGCCGGCCAGCTCCTCCCTCAGCCAGAGGTTCTCCTGGCCCAGGCGCCTCACCTGGGCCCGCAGCTTCTGCTTCTCCGCCTCCAGCGCCCCGATGTGGGAGGAGAGGGCGATCAGCATCTGGGGAGAGGGAGGGGCAGCTCCAGCAACCATAGCCTTTGCACTCGGGAGACGGGGGGGGGGGGAGAGGGGGGCTGTGGAGAATTGCAAGGGAGTAAAGCAGGGACTGGCCGCAGGGCAGCACCACAACGAATGACGTACAGAAATACTAAGAATGAAGATAATGGGAAAATAGGGGAAGAAAGGGGGAAGAGAAAAAAGGTGAGGGCAAAGGGGAAACAGGAAAAAAAAGACATTGACTTCCGGCCCCTTTGGGCACAACAGAATAAGGTAATAACATTAGTTCTATATTTTGATAAACTACTTTTATTGAAGTTTTATATTTTGACAAAATACTTTTACATATTGTTTTTTGATACATTTTATATGTTCTATTGCTTCTGTTTGCATTACATTGGATTCCAATATATTGGAATTGGGTCAACTTATTTTCCAACGCCCCAGAAGGCAAGGCAAGAAACAACAGATGGAAACAAGGAGAGAAGCAACCTGGAATTAAAGAGAAACTTCCTAACAGTGGTGGACAGTTAACCGGTAGAACAGAAGTTGCCTTCAGAAGTTGTGGGTGCTCCATCACTGGAGGTTTTTAAGAAGAGACCGGACAGCCACTTCTCTGAAACAGTAGAGGATCTCGTTCTTGAGCAGGGGGCTGGACTAGAAGACCTCCAAGTTCCCTTTCTAATCTACTCTCTACTCTCTCCTCTCCTCTCCTCTCTACTCATAACTTGAAAGTACCTGACACAACCCAGGGAAGGCCAAGACAAATGGACATGCTTGACCTTTCCAGTTGAAGCTGACTGCCAGGGTGGCCCCCGCTAGCATCACATGCCAGGCTTGTGCAAAGACCCCCCCCCAGACTTCCCTCCCCAAGGGCTCCTGGAGCTTCCTTGTGCTCCATGATGCCATAGGTGGTCGAGCAGCCTCCTGGCTACCTCCCTCGGGGCTCCTGGTGTACCTGGCCTTCGGCAATGCCCAGCTCTATGCCTTCCAGGCTCCTGCAGACGAGGTCCTGCTTCTCTTCCAGCAGCTCCAGGGCCTGGGCATCCGCGGCTGCCAGGGGGGTCTCCCTCTCATCCATCAGCTGCCGCTCCTTCAGCAGAGCCTCCTGCAGGTGGAAGTGGATGCTGCGGTTCTCGCTGCGCAGGGCTTCCAGCCCCTTCATCACCTGGCGTGTTTGGAGGATGATGTCATCGCCTGTCATCCTCTCCGATTGGGTGTCATTCAGGCCCACCATGATGGACATGGTGGGCCACGTTGGTTCTAAAGAAGGAGGGCGCCGAGCTCCTGGTGTCTCCTGGGGGTCTCCTAGAAGGCAAAGGAGGAGCCTCTCTGGCAGTTGCATCTCAAGGATGGTGGGGGTCCAAACTTGGCAACTTTAAGACTTGTGGACTTCAATTCTCCTTGCACTAGCTGGGGAATTCTGAGAGTTGAAGTCTTAAAGTTGCGAAGGTTGGTGTCCCCTGCTCTAATCCTAGACACAAAGGTTATCCAAGCCCTCTGCACACTCTCAGAGGTATTCCAGATCTGCAAACCCTGGTCTTTTTTTCACCCAGGATCTATTAATCAGAAGGAACATCAGCTAGAGAAGTTGATGGGGAGAACTATCAGGATTTTTATTCAACCAAAGCAGAAGGCACCATTTGTAAATGTGATATTTCTGGCCTCCGGTAAAAGGCTGCCCTCCACGTTGGGAATGCAAGAGCCCTTCCATCACACCCAGGTGGGGCCGGGAGGCCGCCCTGCCTGGCCCAGGCCTTTGGGAATGCTGCCTGCTGGATCCACAGCTGAATCCCAAACCAGTCTCTCCAGCTGGATGCCACCACCAGAAAGCAGGCAGCAACACGCTCCTCGGCCAAGCCCGTCTGCAGCCACACACATGCCTGAGGAAGGAAGAATCCTCGGCCGCCTCCCTTCGCCAGACAGGCTGGGTCTCCTCTGGCCGGGATCGAGGCTCCCAGCCCTGGCCATGCGAAGGGTGCCAGCAGCCCATCAGGCAGCAGGGCTTTCCGAGGCTGCCCTGCGCCCGGACTGGCTGCTCGGCCACTTCAGAGACCCCAAGCAAGAGACCTCAGCGCTGCCCACTTCCTTCTGCTGAACGTGGGTTTAACGGGTCACCATCTGGCACTGGTGCCCGAGCCGTGGAGCTGCTGAGCTGCCAACCCCCTTTCTATGTCTCTCCGTCAGGTGCCCATTAATCCAATCTGGGCAGGAAAACTGGTCAGCTCTGCTGCTTACAGAAGCTCCTGCTTGGCCCTCATTTCATGCTCCCATCGAGCTGCTGCCCTAGACAGGCTGGGTTCTGACAGCACTCGAAATAGGAAATAGCACCTAGACTTATATACCGCTTCATAGGGCTTCACTGCCCTCTCTAAGCGGTATTTTACGGAGTCAATACACAGCCACAAGAAAGCAAAATTTACCCCTGCATTATTTTAGATCGTGCCATCATGTTCTCTCCAGCTTGCCCTGTGCAATTTGCTTTCTTGCAAGATTTTTAGAAAAAAATATGTATACGTATTTTGGGGGTCTGGCAGAGAAGCCCATGGTTGGTAGAAGGCCATTTCTCTCAGGCCGCCTCTGTCAAGCGGTATATCGGTTACCTCCAACTGAGGCACTCTTCCCATCTCTGCAGCCATCAGCGCAAGGATGCTAGTTTGTGGATGCTTTCCAGAAGCCCCCCCCCCATCTGGAAACAGCTGCAGGGCTGGCCCAGAGCAGAGGCAGGACATCCCCCCCCCCAGCCTCTCTCTGAGAGCAAGGTCTGATATAAAAACTCCTTCAAGGGGGGGTCCTTGGGGCTCTCTGAGCTTGGCTGTTTTCTTGTAGACGTTTCGCGACCCAGCTAGGGAACATCTTCAGTGCTAATGTGATAATGAAACGTTCAAGAAAAGAGCCAAGCTCAGAGAGCCCCCAGGACCCCTCAGTTCATCAGGAGGCTACAAATATTCTCTTCTTCAGCTGCTGCCACAACCGTGGACTTCCATTCACAAGTCTGGAAGCGGCTCCTAACTCGGGCCCTGTTTAGCCAGTGAAAAGATAAACTTCGCTTCAGTCATCTCTGTCGCCCGGGGAATATTTTGCACAAAGCTCCCGTTTCCCCCTTGCAGGTCCCGCTCTTCACTGCGGCTGGCCCCTCCGCGACACCCGCCTCGGCTGGACCCGCCGCGCTTCCGCGTGGGATGCCCAGACAAGCGAGCCGGCTCAGCGCCGACTGGAGCTCGGCCCGGCCCGGCCCATCTCGCGCCTCTTCGCAGCCGGGAAAGGCAGCTCCGGGGGAAGCAGGCCGGCCCGATGCTGCTGCGCCGGACCCCCGGCTCTGCCAAGAGATGGGTCGGAGGTCTGGGTCGCTCCCAGGAGCCCCCCCCCGAACACGACCGCCTGGAGGACGCGTCCCCCTCCCCTCTCCAAAGTAGGCGCCCCCCCCCGCGTCGCTTTCGCCCAGGGGAGGGGAGGCTCCCCAGGTAACCCAGATGGCCTCGGAGCCGGGGAGGCTGCAAGCTGCAGCTCCGGCGGCGAGGAAGATGCGCCCGATTCTCCCGGGCAAGGCCTGCCCCGCCGCTGCCTCACCTTCCTCCCTGCCGGCCTGTCGAGGAGAGAATCAGCGCTCGCCGCGCCCCGGCAGCCTCCGCCGCCCGCCCCGGGTTCAGCGCCTCGCTGGGGAGGAGGGGCGCTCCCGCCCCGCCCAGCGGAGCCGCGGCTTACCTGGGCCGCGACTGGAAGGCGCTCTGCACGTGCCCAGAGGCGCCCCGCCCCTCTTGAAACCGAAAAGCAGCTCTCCCCAATTTCTGTAAACCCCCCCCCCGCCTTTCCCCTAAAGAACGCCGCAGCTGCTTTCCATGCAGGAGCCCCGCGCCCAGCTCAGCCCCGACCTGCGCCCGAGTCGGGGGGAGGGGGCTCCGCCTTTTTTAAAGACCCTCCCGTGCCGACTCCCTCGCCCGGTCAGCCCCTCCGGTTTTTCGCAGAAGAAATGAGCTGATAGATGTTGGTGGGAAGGAGGCCCCCACCCCCACCTCTTGCCTGGCCTTGAGGCTGCTGAAGAGCCCCCAGCAATGAGCCGACCCCTCTCCCTGCCCCGCGCCGTCGGGAAAGCGGTGCCAAGCAGACCCTCCGGCTCTCTGGCCGAGGGAGGGAAAAGTCATCATCTGGCAGGCTGACTCCCTCCCCCTCCCCCGCAGGTCCTTGGCTGAAGTGAAGGGGCGTGATTGGAAGAGATAGAGAAGCCGGGCACACCTGGAGACCTCGCCCTGGCCTATGGTCCTCACCACCACCCCGCCCCAGCCCCCGGAGTTGCACTCTGTAATCTTCGGAGCCTCTAGCCAAAATTGGATCTCTGTGCTCAGGAACCCAGTTTGCGGGACGTCCCGAAGAGATGGGAGAAGGCAAGGCAAGAACCGCAGAGCCTGAGAAGGCCAGGCCTCTGCTCCGCTCCTGTGGACGCGTGTCTAACGGCAAAGGTTGTGGGTCTGCTCGCATTTAATAAACTTCTGCAAACCTCTGTTCGTTCTGGGTGGCTCGGCCGGACATCTGAAGCAGCCCTTTTGGTCGCTTTACAGCTCAATGTATTCTGTTGATCCAGGAAATGGCTCGGTTCAGTCAGATGGTTGTGTGAACGCACCCCCGTGTCTCCGACTGCTTCTATCCCTTCAAGTTCGAACTGCAGCAATTAATTCTCGGGAACTCTCTTTGACCGCGGGGTGAAATGGGAACTCCTCTGAGCATCCGTCAAGTTTCTTTCCCTCCCGTTGTGTCTCGGGGACTCAAGGAGAAGACTCCCACCCACCCACAAAGGATCCCCGTCCCGTCCTGGCCTTCGCTCCCTGCCCTTGGCCTTCAAGGCTAAGCCAAAGGGACACTGCTTGGTTGAGGGCAGGGGGCGCGGGGGCTTTGCAGCAGAGCCAGGGGGAGGGTGGAGGGGAGGCAGGCAGGCGGGTGCTGCCAGGCTGCTGGTGGTCGGGAGACGCAGGAAAGGAAGGAGGCGGGAGGGGGGCAGCCTCTTCCAATTCCTTTAATATTGTATGAGGAGAGCGCTTGGAATGCGCCTCGCTTCCCTGCTTAGCTCACAAAAAGCTGCGCTGGCCCAAAGCCAGCCCAGTTGCTCTCTTCCTCGGGGGGGGGGGAGAGCTCTAGAGCGGGGGGGGTCATGGGGAGGGGCCCCGGCAACGTCAGTCTCGAGACTGGCTGGCAGTAGAGACGGCGGAGGGGGAAAGGCAAAGGGGGAGCTGGGCCCCGTGCAGGCCCCCTCTCTCGCCGAGCATCGGCCAAGCCACAGCATCCCCTCGGCCCAGAGGGAGCAGCGAGTCGCTCCCTCCACAGCCGGGTCCCTTCGGGGAGCCCTTCTGGCATGGGGTCTTTTTCAAGGGGGACCGCGGGTGGCCGGGCGCTGCCTATGGGAAGGCAGAAACCAAACTGCCAGGACCCCACAAACCGACGGGCCAACAAAGCCAGGCACAACCACGACGAGGAGGAGGAGATCTCTTGGGACCGTTTAAAGCCGGGGATTCCCTGGTGGTCCCCCATCCCGAGTCAACCTCAGACCCGGAAAGGCGGGCCTGGTGCGGCCTCCCGCCGAGCGGGGCCTTCTCCTTCGAACAGGGCAGAAGAACCGGTATGGACGGGCGGCCCGCCACGGGGCTCCCCTTGCCTAAAGACCTCCGACCTCCCCTGCAGCCTTCCCTTCGTTCCTGGCCGCTCGGACGCTTCCCTGGGTGATTCTGGGGCACGAATAGAGCAGAGAGCCAGAGCCGCCCAGTCAGCGCTTTTCATAAATGCATTTATTCGGGGGGGGGGGAGGACAGAGGGATGGCCAGGCGAGAAGGCTCCTTTGCCAAGCTCTGAAAGCTGCAGAGACGCTGCCAACGTCCCCCCCCCCTCCGCCGCGCTCCCGGCTGTAAATTCTGAGCAAATCCTCTGGGCTTCTCCGCATCGCATCTGGCCTCCCGGCGGGTCAGCTGTCTCGCTCAGGAAGACTTGCCCGGCTTCAGATATCGGCCCGAGGCGACACATCCCCGAAGCAGCCGGGTTGGCTCTGGAGAAAGTGCGCGGAGGGACCCCCCCTCCTCCGGCCCACTAAGGCCCTGGTCCCCCGGGTGTTTTCTGTATGGGGCAGAGCCTTTAACCCCCCCCTCCCCCCCGCCCAGTGGCTCCGACTCTTCCCCCTGCAGGCCCGAAGCCACTCCCAGCCGGGGGATGCTCCGGTGGGCCTTCATCCCGGGGCGAAGGCGGCCCCCGGATCAGCTATGCCCAAGCCCTGCGGCTCTGCAAGCAGCCACCAGAGGGCGCTGCACCTCCACGCCGGACCCGCGAGCGGCCGAAATGGGCAGGGCAGTTGTTCCAAGTGGCGTTACTGCGGGCCGAGACCCCCCCCCAGCCCATCCCGGTCTGGAGTCTCCCTGCGGAGGGTCTCCTGGCGTGGCTTTAGGGGAAGGAGGGAATGGACGCCAGTCTGTCTAAGGGGCGCCGGCTCGGAGACCATTGACGCGAAATGGCGGAGGGAGGAACCCGTCAAAGGTGTGGGCCCCGTCGATGGGAGGGTCCCCCGTGCGGAGCCACACAAGGAGGCCCCGGAGCTCTTGTTTGCCGGCCCGCAGCTCTTCGGTAAGAAGGCCAGCCGGTTCTGCAAGCTGGGAGGTGTTGTGGGGAGGATGAAAACAATTGCCCCCAGCGATGCACTTTGCCGGTTCTAATTTCCCACTGCTTTCCCAACTTCGTGTGGGTCCAGTTCCCATCATCCCCTGCCAACCCATCCACTTAGGCAGTGTTTCTCAACCTTGACAGCTGGAAGAGGTGTGGATGTCCACTCCCAGAATTCCCCAGCCTGCTCTGCTCTGCTTCTGGGAGTGGACATCCACATCTCTTCCAGTTATCAAGGTTGAGACATGCTGATCTAGGGGATGATGGGAGTTGGAGTCTGTCTGGCACACCGGGCCCTAGTGGTTCGTTTCTGCCAGGGCCAGGGCTGGGGTTATCCGGTCGTTGCTGGGAGGGGCAGCTGGCACCCTTTGTGCATCCTCAGCAGCATCAGATAGAGCCTGCTGTGCCCGGAGCCAGGCCTCTCTCTCACTCGGACTGCAATACGCAGACCAGATTGGTTCATTCTTTAACCTACCAATGGCCGAAGTTGGCTGTGCATTGCTAAGAGATCCCAAACCTGAGTTGGCTGCCTGCATTAAAGCCAGTTCTGGAGCAGGTCTGTGGATCCCATCTACGTCAGGACTCCTGAGCCCATCTAATTATGGGAAGAATGAGCAAGCCCTTTCCCAGGATCTGGAGAAGATAGGCCAAAGCCGGCTAAACTCTCCTTTCCACGCCCAGGTGGCCTTGAGGACTTAATATCCTTGGGGCACAGGAGTTGGCACAGGCTATGGGTATAGGGGTGTGTGTGCCCAGAGCCCAGAAAGTTGTTTCAGAGTTTGCAGCTACTCAGAGATATTTCAATCTGTTGATAACCTTATATATTTTTAGATCTTGAAACTTCTGCCTGGTAAGCGAATACGGCAGGTAGGGGACCCCTTTCTGGGATACTCAGAGTTGTGGGGTGGAGAGAGACAGAGGGGACAACATGGCTCCGGACGGGGTGAGCAGCGTCTCTCCGCTGCTCTGCCTTCTTGACATGCCCCCCCCTGCAGGCAGAGATCACTGTGGAAAGCATCTGGGGGGCTTCTCTCCTTTTGAACTCCTGAATAACAGAGTTGGAAGGGACTTGGAGGTCTTCTAATCTAACCCCCTGCTCGACAGGAGAGCCCATATCAGGGGTGTCCAATTTTGGAACCTGAAGACTTGTGGACTTCAACTCCCAGAATTCCAAAGCTGGCTGGGGAATTTTGAGAATTGAAGTCTACAAGTCTTAGCCAAGGTTGGACACCCTTACTGTATAATATTCTGGACAAATGGCTGTCTGGTCTCTTCTTAGAAACCTCCAATGTTGGAGCACCCACAACTTCTGAAGGCAACTTCTGTTCCTCTGATTGTTCTCACTGTCGGGAAATTTCTCCTTAGTTCTAGGTTGGTGAGTTTCCATCCAGGCCATTGATTCTGCCTGAGTCTGCCTGTTGTGCTAAGGGCGGCTTTGCTCTTAATAGCTCCTTTATCAGCAACCTGCCCAGGAGTTGTAAATAATGAGCAGAGACAGCCGCTTCCCCAGGAAGTGAGCGTGGGGGACAGAGGCTGATGCAACAGCAAAATGGCCCAGGAGTTCCCTTTTGAACAGGATCTGGTGACAGGCTTTGCCAAATGCTGTGCTGGATCTATTTGGGTTTTTTTTTTTTTAAAAAAAAAAAGACGCCTCAGTGACTTTGAGCGAGGCCACAGAGCCTCCAGCCAAAGGGGCAAAGTGGGGGTTCGTTATCGGCACCCTACCCCCCTCTTTTCGGAAAGCCTCTTGAAAGTGGGGCAGGGCCCTGCTGGCACAGACGTCTCTCCTGGCAATGGGGCTGTGATTAAACCGGAGGATGGCATTAATTACCGAACCATCTCTTGAGGGGGGAGGGGGCTGATCATGTTCATCCTTTTTCCTTCCTCTCCTACCTGGCACAATGGGGGTTACCTCCAGATGGAAGAACAACATGGTGTTGGTGCTTTCCGTTTGTCTGCTTGTGGTTTCTACAAAAGTGAGTTGTGTTGCTGTTATTTGGCAGAGGGGAAGAGTCTGTCAAGAGCACTCAGAGCATGTGACAAGTGCTTTTCTGTTTTTGGAAGTGCAGCAGCTGAGCACAAAGTT